CTGCTGGAATGCACCGAGAGGGCACAGCACTGTTTCTGGGACATTCCTGCCAAAAATGCATAACCTAAAATTAAATTAAGTCACAAGGAGACATGAGGAAGAAAACCAAATTGAGGCAAAGTCTACAAAAGAGCCAGCTAGAACTCTTCAAAAATGTCACCATCCTTAGAGACAAAAAAGACTGAGGTTCTGGCCCAGAAGGAAGGACCCTGGGGGAAGGCAACTGCTACAAGCCATGTGTCCCAAACAAAGACGCTGGTGGCTGGCTGATGACATCTGATTTTATCACTGTTCTACGACTGTTGTCTAAGACGTTAGCATTTGAAGAAGCTGGCAAAGGGCATGTGGAAAATTCTTTGCGCTAATTTTGCAACTTTTGTAAGTATGAAATTACTTCAAAATGAACAGTTAAAAGTAAGTTTTTTCTAAATGGTTGTTAGTTGATCACTAGTGAAGCTTGGTCATGGGTACCCAGGAGTTCATTATACTACTCTCTCCTTGCATAGGTACTACAAATGTTCCATGATAAAAAGTTAAAATGAGAAGTTTCGGAGACAAAACAACCACATGCAAGGTACGGATCCTGTTTGGACTTGAGTCAAACAAATCAACAGGAAAGAACATTTCTGAGACAGCCAGGGAACTTTAAATCTCATTACCGGTTAATACTAGGCAATCACTGTTGATTTTGTAGGTAGATTTTTTTCCCATCGTGACAACAAAAACACAAAATTCACCAACGTCAGCCTTTAAAGCGTACAAATCGGTGGCATTAAGTACATTCACCATGTTGCAGGACTGTCACCAGCTCCAGACATTTTTATCACCCCAAAGGGAGACTGTCCCCATCAGCAGCCAGTCCCCACTCCCCCACCCCCAGCCCCCGCAACCACTCACGTGTTTTAGATCTCTGATTTGCCTGTTTGGGACATCTCACAGAAATGCCACGTTAACATGTAAAATGTGGCCTTTTGTGTCTGGCTTCCTTCATTTACCGTAGTGTTTTCCAGGTTCCACACTGCACCACTGATCAGCATTTCGTTCTTTTTACGGCTGAACTATCCCATTGTGTGAACAGCCCCCATTTCGTTGCTCTGTGCACGTGCCCCTGAACGTTCGCATTGTTTCTGCCTTTTGGCTACCGTGAGCACGCTGCTCTGAACACTCACGGGTAAGGTTTGGTTTGAACACCTGTTTTCCATTGTTGTGGATGCCATCGTTGGCGTGGAATTGCCGGGTCATATGGTGCTTCTGTTTACCTCATCCAGAAGCGGTTCTCAACAGCAGCCGCTCCATTTCACATCCTGGCCGGTCTCCCCACAGGAGGGTTCCAGCGTCTCCACATCCTCGCCAACGCTGGCCATCTTCTATTGTTTTTGTTTTTAAAATTATTATGGATAGGGACGCCTGGGTGGCTCAGTCAATTAACCATCTGCCTTCAGCTCAGGTCATGATCCAGGGTCCTGGGATTGAGCCCCACGTCAGGCTCCCTGCTCAAGGGGGAGTCTGCTTCTCCCTCTGCCCCACGCCCTGCTCATGCATTCTCTTTCTCTGTCAAATAAATAAATAAATAATCTTTTTTAAAAAATTATTATGGATGACCTTCCAGGTGGTGTGAGGTGGGCGCTCACTGTAGTTTTTTGTTTTTTTTTTTTTAATTTTATTTATTTATTTGACAGAGATCACAAGTAGGCAGAGCAGCAGGTAGGGAGAAAGAGGGCAAAGCAGGCTCCCTACTGAGCAGAGAGCCCGATGCGGGACTCGATCCCAGGACCCTGGGATCATGACCTGAGCCGTAGGCAGAAGCTTAACCCCATTTGACTTGCATTTATTTCCCTAATGACTGACGACACTGAGCATCTGTTTACGTGTTTGCTGGCCATTGTTAGATGTTTCAACACACTGGAGTTATGTCAAAAATAACCATCTTTTTTGGAAAGCCGTACTATAATGTGAAAGGATACAATAACAACAAACCTGGGGTTTGAAATGCAACAGCAAGGGGGGGCCTGGGTGGCTTAGTTGTTAAGCGTCTGCCCTTGGCTCAGGTCATGATCCCGGGGTCCTGGGATTGAGGCCTGCATAGGAAGGAAGCTATGGAGGAAGCCTGAGTCTCTCTCTCACTCTCCCTGCTTCTGTTCCCTCTCTCACTATGTCTCTCTCTGTCAAATAAACAAATAAAATCTTAAAAAAAGCAAAAAAAAGAAAGAAAGAAAGAAAAAGTTTAAAAAAAAAGAAGAAAGGAAAAAGAAGAGAATGTGGCAAAATGTTTTAATTGTTCAATCTGAGGTATGGCTATATGGGGAGAATCACTCTGAAACATGCCACAATAAAAAAAGAAATTCTGCCCTAGGAAACAAAGTCTTGAAAAGCCAGGGTCATTGTGCCCGTGGTCTTCATTCAAAACACAAGCCTCTTCTCTTCTACCAGGCTCACAAGACATTTCCTGGGTTCTTCCTAAGAACCCCAGACACCCTGTGCCCTCTGGCATTCACAGATGTCAATAAGGCTGGGGGCAGCGGTTCTAGATATCCGGGGCAGTGGGCCAGCCTTCTCCATGCATCATGAGAGACCAGTGCTCTAGATTGGAACATGTGGGAAATTCGGGTCCATCAAGAAGGGAACACCACAGTGATCCTGGGGACACCTGCCTACCACAGGATGCTGACACTGTCCCCACTGTCATGTCCAAAACAGACATCGGGGCGGCCTCGGCCGGCTGCAGACATGTGCCCGTTGTCTTTTCAATGATCTTCTTCAAAAACCACCTGCTGCTGGGGACCAGCTCCACACCACCTGGGAAATGGGGGCACTGTGGACACCAACATCGTAACTGGTTTTTTTTTAAGATATATGTTGGGAAGGCCATCTGTCTCAAACACAGTCATCATGTAAGGGTGGCAAAATACATATTCTTTGAATCTTATTCCATACTGTCTTTTCAATGAACTGTTTTGTTTTTCTTTTTAAATGGAAAAGTGTCCTCTTATTTTATCATTACTAACGTAAGCATTTGATGTCAAAGAGACGAAGGTAATTGTACAAACCCAGAACGTTTGCAAGGACATACAATTTCCATTTTATCATGGTTTTCTGCCACACTAGCTCAGATGTACTTGTCCACAAGCACCCCGCATAGCCTCATCAGAATTATTTCAGTCAGCCTCAACACGTGACTCTCCCCAATACTCCTGAGTAGACATAGAAAATTGTAATTATTAACTTCTCACTGGATGGGATAAGAAATAAAGTCATCAGGTGATGGGACAGTCATCAGGTAGGACTGTTAATTTCCAACGAGAAACTTGGTTGAAATGTTTCTTCTGATAACAGTAGTTACAAATTAGAATTTTCGAAAACAAGGGCAGAACAAAAGTACAGTGAAAGAAACTTCCGCAGCTTAGACCTCCCACAGCCCTAAATCTCTGTGAGCAGCAAGGCAGATCAATGTTCCTACAAATTAAATGAGTTTCCAGGATTTCCATGTAGTGAGGGTTTCGGAGATACACACTCAAGACAGAGCATTAATCTACATACTATCTCATCTCTAGTTGTCGTTTTCTTTTCTTTTCTTTTTTTTTTATTTTATTTAATTATTTGACGGGGAGAGAGAGGGAGGGAGCACAAGCAGAGGGAGCAGCAGGCAGAGGGAGAGGCAGACTCCCCACTGAGCAGGGAGCCCAACGCAGGACTCGATCCCAGGACCCTGGGATCATGACCTGAGCCGAAGGCAGACGTTTAACCAACTGAGCTACCCAGGCACCCCAGCAGCTCTGGTTGTCTTAATTATGCCTGCACAGTTAGATGGCCATCCAAGTCCAAAAGCGGAGGAGGAACATACACACAGGTATGGTCAAGGGTAGGGACAGACTGGAAAAGCCCAGGCTGACTGGGCTGGGCTGGTGCAGCCTCACGTGAGCTTTTCTTCCATGGAGGTGGAACCGAACAGTCCGGCTAAAGAGACGACGGAATAAGTCAACGTAGGATGAGGCAGAATCATTCTCCTTCCTCACGTCTTACCTGCTACTCTGACTCTTTAAAAGGTAAGTGGTATTAAGAAAAATCAGTTGTGGGGCGACTGGGTGGCTCAGTCAGTTAAGCGTCTGCCTTCACCTTGGGTCATGATCCCAGGGTCCTGGGATCGAGCCCCGCATCGGGCTCCCCGCTCAGCTGGGAGTCTGCTTCTCCGTCTCCCTCTGCCCTTCCCCCCTGCTCACGCTGCACACTCTCTCACACTGTCTCCCTCTCTCAAATAAATAAGATCCTTAAAAAAAAAAAAACTCAGTTGTGGGTGTTGTCGTCTTCCATTTCTTCTTGCTTCTGATGTCGCTATGTCATTCTAGCCGCCTGTGGTACCATATGAGGAATCCCGTCACAGGCTCTTCCAGAATCTTCATTCATCAGTTCATTGGTCAGTGCTTCACATCGGAGCGGCTTCTCAGAGCTGCAGGCACAGCTGGACTCAAGCAGCGCCCGGTGGAAGAGGGGCAGGTCCCCTGAACTCTTGCTCTTGTCTGCTGACCACTGTCCCCCGGATGCGGGCAGGCACCCCCGGGGCCTGCACATACCCAGCGTGTACCCCGCGGCACTGAGGCGAGCACGGTCTGGCAGCCCATGCGACTCTCAGCCAGGCCCCCACGCCTTCCACCGATCCCCTGGCTGGCCGCCCCTCACCTCCTCTGTGAACTACTGTGAACACACTAGTAGGGCACGTCAATTCTTATCCTTCCAGAGAAGCAGCAGAAGTCACTTAGAAACGGCCACAGGCCTTTGTTTCTGACTCTTAACGCTGAAACGAATTTCACCACCTGAAAGCACTCAGTGGGCCTCCTCTGCAGGCTTTCTCCCCCTTCCCAGTAAAACCAGCTCTTGTGGGTCGCCGGGTCCACACCGGGCTGCCCAGCCAGCCTCCACAGGTGCCTAAGCCCCCCCGGCCCGTGCTCCGGGCCGCCCTGATCGAGCTGCTTCCACACGCGGGCTCCCGTGGGAGACCTCCCTACCTTGTGGGCTTCCACCCCCATCTCCTTCAGGGCCGACTGGAAATACTCAGGAGAAGGTTTCCCCACAACTTCAGCCTCGATTCCACAGGCGTACTGGGAAAAGAGAAAAGGACACAGCACGGGTTGAGGACAAAGCCACAGGTGAGCCCTCCTCCGAAGGCCTCCCTCTGGGGAATCAAGGAAAGAGCGCCCCGAAGGTGCACCCGTGGGCCAGGGGCCTCCCAAGAGGCAGGACACTTGCGCTGAGAGACACACAGCCCCCACCTGGCCCCCTGCGATCTGCTCAAAAACCTGAGCACAGCAGGAGGTGGGCCACCCTCCCTCACCTCTCATTTGGTTGGTGCTCTCATTTGCATAATTGCTTCTCCCCGTCCCCCAACTCAGTCACAGGCCCCCCACGGGAATAGGTCCAGGGCTCCACCAGCCAGTCTGCCCAACGCTCCCACCCAAGTGCAGGGTGCCAAGGGCCAACGTAGCAGCGAGGGTGGCAGGTGAGCTGACCTGGGGCAGCTGAGCAGGCACGGGTCGGGGGGGTCACCGGGGGCCCCATCTGAACCCAGCCCTGAAAAGGAGGAGGGAGTCGGGAGGGAGTCCCATTAGGACACGTCATGCTCAAGGTGTTGCAGATGACCAGTGTCAGGAAGGAGGCAGGTGGCAGGCGGACGCCGAGGGTCTGAGAAGACAGCGGCAGCGAGCAGGCCGGCCATCGGCCTGGTGAGGGGCCTGGGGAGTGGGGAGGAGCAGGAGGGACAGGACAGCAGAGTGACCACCCCGGCGGCTGAGGGGCCGCACTCTGGAGCGGAGTGGGCGCTCCGCTTGAAGCCCCGAACAGGAGGGCGGCAGCTCTGGCAACAGAAGAGGCGATTCAGACACGGAGTTCACCCCTCTCTCCCGAAAGACCAGAAGCGTCCCAGACAGCCCCGAGATCTGAAGGCGGCTCAGACAAACTCTGGCCAGGTACCTCGAGCGCCTTCATGTAGGCACCAACGTCCAGCATCAGGCCCGAGGTCTCCTTGTAGTAGCGTCTACAAGAGAGGAGGAGGGGACACGGTGAGCGGAGCCCGGGAGCTGTGCCAGGAGAAACCGCCCCATCCCGGTTCTGTCAGCTCGAGAGAGCAGAACCATGGGTGAGGGTCAGTCCGGGCGCCACGCTGGGAACGACCGACGGAGGTCAGCATGACACAGCCCAGCAGCAGGTCACCATGTCCGGGCGGGAGGGACAGTGGGCCAGCAGCTCTCACTCCCAGTGGCCCCCTGCTGCCAGCCCTCGGGGGACCCCAGGGGCAGATGGTTCCAGTCACTAACAGAGAAACACAAGGGGCCTGCGTTGCGATCTGGGGACGAGCAGAAGGTCCACAGAGCACATGGCGGACTCCTAACTGCTAATGATTAACCCCTAACTGCTGCTCGAAGAAGAAAACCCCATTAGTTCCATGGCGCCCCGCAGCGTCTCCTATTAACTGGAGGTCCAGGTGCCAAATGCTTTCACAAGAAAATGACAATCTCTTCCTGTCTCACCGGAGACCAACACGGATGGCTCACGGGAGCCTGCCTTTCCGAGGACAGCTTTGTGACTCCTGTGAGCGCTGGGCTGGCCCTGGCCTCCACCGTCTGGCCCTCTTAGGGCCACACCCAGACCCCTCGGGACACATGGAAGATGGATCCCAGTTCCAGAGCAAAGCCATTCGACTAGAAAGAGAGCAAAGGTAGTTTAATCTATACCACTCAAAAGACAGGGTTAACAGGAGCCCGGGACTGTTAAAATGTTTTGAGACCCGTCACAGCAAGTGCCTCTCTTTCCCATGCTCTACGGACTGGAGAGACGTCGAACAACACGTACACAGAGACCCGAAGAGAAGAGTGAGGCACACTGACTCCAGGGCTCCAATCCAAGTTCTACGTCCTTTTAACTGTGAGACTTTGGGTTGCTGAAGCCCTCTAGGCTCAGTTTCCTAATCTGTAAAATGGGCAGCAGGGACTCTAGTACCCACCTCATGAATTATTGTGAAGCTCAAACAGAACAATGTGTGCAAAGTTCTTGACATGACGTCTCGCATGCAGGCACTGCTCAAAAAATATTCGAGAAAATGATTATTCTGGTTACCTGGACCGGGCTACAGGCAGGGAGCTATGAGTGGGGCCAGAAAGGATGAACACATGTCTTTCCCCTCTGTGGGGGTTGCAACCTGTCCTGTGCCTACTGAAATGTAGAACTGAGCTTCCCAGGAGCTGCCGCAGGGCTGGCTCCTTTCCTCCAGCTCTGCGCCCCCGGAGTCCTGCCCGTTCCTCTGGACCCCACCTGAGGCCTTGAAGGCTGCGGGAGCCTAACTGCCCACCACATGCTCCCCCAGCACTCGGTGTTCTCAGGCTCCACGAAGGCTGGCCTGCAAGGCTTTAGCCAAACCCTTGGCTTTGGGAGGGGCTGGTGCCTAGCCAATCATTCCTGTCAGGTACACTGGGAGTCTGGAGCCCATGAGATGAAGCTGGGGATGGGGACGGGGGTGGTTCCTGGTATGGCAGGACCAGTCGGTCTCCAAGTGAACCCCAGGTTTCTTGGTCAGGGGTCACCCCACAAGGGCTAGGTGGGACACTGTACCCCTTCAGGAAGATGCCTGGTAGCCAAGATGAACGGCTCCTGCTTACAGCATTGGGGCCTAAAAATGCTACCCCATTTAAAGGGTGACCCCAAAACCCACGGTTAGAGGTCCTTAATTGCCTTTGTCTTAAATCGAGAATCCAGACATGTATTCTGCCTGATAGAGCCTCACTGAAGTGTTTCCTTCTATTTTCCCATTCCTACAATAAACCACCTTCCCTAGCTAGGTCCCAAGTTTTAAAGGAACGGCAAAGTCAAGTCAGGTTTGGCCTACAGGAAGAGGGAGACACTGGGTGCTGGGCCCTGCACTCAGGGACCCCAGAGTTGGGGTCCGTAATTCAGTCCCCCAGATCCACGGCCCTCTGTGGGACTCAGAGAACAGCCCAGACCCAGGCTGTCCCCCAGGGACTCCCAGTCTGGTGGGGAAACAGCCCAGTCCACAGACAAATATAAAAGGGACGGGGCATGGGCAACGATCAGGGGAAGCCCGGACTCTGCGTGCTCTGCTTGAGGAGGGCTGAACATGCTGGGCACAGGGAGACAGCATCCCAGCGACACATCAGAGCTGGGAGCAGAAGCTAAAGTGAAGGGAACAGAATTGTCCAGCCACAGGGACCATCTCGGAAGCAAGCAGCAGCACTCTGCTGAGGACCCCAAGGGCCGGATGACCCTCCAGGCCCGGTTTCAGCTTTGTCCCTCACCCTCTGTATGAGGACTGCTGTGGGAAGGGAAGAGAGGGGCAGTGGGAGCCCAGAAGGGGCAGGAGGGGGACCAGGGAGGGTCTCCCTGAGGAAGGGACACGGCAAAGTGAGCCAGGGACAAAGGACAGAGGTGAGGAGAGAATGCGGCCAGCACAAGACCCCAAAGCCAAAGGACGAATTAAAAATGACACCATCTTGGGGCGCCTGGGTGGCTCAGTGGGTTAAAGCCTCTGCCTTCGGCTCAGGTCATGATCCCAGGGTCCTGGGATCGAGCCCCGCATCGGGCTCTCTGCTCAGCAGGGCGCCTGCTTCCTCCTCTCTCTCTCTCTCTCTGCCTGCCTCTCTGCCTACTTGTGATCTCTGTCTGTCAAATAAATAAAAATAAAATAAAATAAAATAAGTAAATAAAAATGACACCATCTTATTGCAACAGGCACAGGTCTGCTTGGAGCAGAGGATTCTCTGGGCCTCCGGCCGGGGCCTTGGGCTGGCAGGAGGAGGCAGGAGCTGGGCGCACCTCCCTTTGGAAAAACCTCCCAAGGACATCTTCACAGCACCACTTCTGCCCAGCCACACTCCCCAGAGTCTTCTTCCCAAGTGACAGGAACCCACACTTTCTGAAGTTTAAATTTAGTCCTGATAGAAGGAAAAACCTGAGCATATAGCTTAAAATACACAATCAGAACCTTGCCTTTGTTACCCTCATGTTTAGAGCCTAAAGAAAAAACTGACTTCCATAAATCAAAATTAGAAACCTTACAATTTCTTTTTTAACTGAATCTGGGCTTTGGTTTTCCAGTGTCCAGAATTTTTCTTTATTCCTTACTCATTCAGGAAAACCAAAAGCTACCTCGGAGGCCATCTGTTAGCTGAAAACATTTTTAGAGACACAGGAAATACAAGTGTCTAAGTTAATTTTCTCTAAATATAAAGGCCCAGGTTATTCCTGAAACCGAAGAGATCTGATACACCATCTTTTGTTACCGGCATCAAGAAAGCAGCAGCAGAAGCTGAGTGCTCCGGCCACAAAGAAGAAACTGGGGGTGCTGGGGAGACGGGAAAGAGCTTGCCAGAAGTGGTCGGATAGATTTTATGCTTTACTCTTCTGCCCTTCCGATTATTCAGCACGGCCTCCCTTCAAAATGACCACTTGACCTTTCCCACAAGAGCCATTAACCTTCCATAGTCTGTCGCGTAAACAGCTTAATTTTCTGACGGCAGCATGACAGAAGAAATTACAAAGGCAATTCCCACTCCGGCTCCAAACAGATGCCACATGTAAATCACTCCATTTCCAGGAGGAGGACATTCTGCCCCAGTACCCCCGCCATCCTGCCTCCTCGGGGGGCCCCGGGGGGCCCCGCGTGGCCCCGTGCCCCAGAGGACGGCCCCTCGCCGTCCATGACCCCCACTCGGACAGGACAGCAGCTCTTCATAGGTCCTTGGGCTGTCCCAAGAAGCTGCTGACCTGGGCCCCAAAGCTCTCAGTTCCTGTCCCTTGCTTCTGAGAACCCAACCCACAGCCCAAGTCAGGAGCCCCATTCGTCAGAGGCACCTCCGATTGTGTATTTGTAAAACCAACCCTTGCCTACTCTTGAATTTACTACAAAATGACGAAGCTAAAAAGCAAATGATTCCTTTTCTTTTTCTTTTTCAACAACACATCCACTTTGACTACTCCCCACAATCTGGAGTAATAACATTTAACAATTAGGGACAATTTTAAAGAAAAAGTGTTAACGTAAATGAATCATGACAGAGCTTCATTATGCTGTTCTCTAGTGAGGCGCTGGTGATCTCAGGGACGCCTGAAGGATCAAGCCAGAAGCGTGAGGGAGTCGAGCAGGCCAAGTTCCATGGTTTGCAGCACTCTAATCCACAGATGCTTGTGAGGTCAGAAAAGGACTAGAATGGTGAACTTATGTGTCAGCCTGACTGGGCCAAGGGGCCAGATATTTGGTCAAACATTATTCTGGATGTTTCTGTGAAGGTCTTCCTTGGGTGAGATTAACACTGAAATCAGTAGTCTCTGAGTAAATAGACTGCCCTCCATTCTGTGGTGGGCCTCATCCAATCAGGGGAAGGTGGGAACAGAACAGTATTACCTCCCTGAGCAAGAAGGAATCTGCTGGTAGAGAGCCTTCAGACCTGGACACAGCTCTTCATTGGGCACCTGGCCCCTCTTGGTTCTGCTTCTGTGACAAATCCTGACTACTACAGGACATATTTTATTTGCATGATAAACACACTAGAATATTTTAAGTTCCTAAAAGAAATATATCCTCTCAGGGCGCCTGGGTGGCTCAGTGGGTTAAGCATCTGTCTTTGGCTCAGTTCATGATCTCAGGGTCCTGGGATCGAGCCCTGCATCGGGCTCTCTGCTCAGCAGGGAGCCTGCTTCCCCCTCTCTCTCTGCCTGCCTCTCTGGCTACTTGTGATCTCTGTCAAATAAATAAATAAAATCTTTAAAAAATATATATATATATCCTCTCTTTCCTGAAATCTCTTTTGTTTGCCTATTTTGACAGAGACAAAGCCATTAAGAAATACCATGAGAAAAACAACCAAAATAGTGCACTTAAGTGACAGCGGACTCTGAGCTTGGTGAAGGGGATGGCGGGAGTGGCGGGGCCTACGGTCAGCTGAAATCAATGGAGGCGGTGGCCTCAGCTAAGCTTCTGCGTGTGGTGGAATGTGGGGCCCTGAATTATCAGATCTTCTGGTTTTTTAAGTATCCAGAAATCTGGGTATTTTATATAAAAATCTCCCAATTCTTTTTTTAAAGATTTTATTTATTTATTTGACAGAGAGAGATCACAAGTAGGCAGAGAGGCAGGCAGAGAGAGAGGAGGAAGCAGGCTCCCCGCTGAGCAGAGAGCCCGATGCGGGGCTTGATCCCAGGACCCTGAGACCATGACCTGAGCCGAAGGCAGAGGCTTAACCCACTGAACCACCCAGGCGCCCAAAAATCTCCCAATTTTTAAACACGCTGCCCCCAAATTTAAGGTCTTGTGAGGGCCAAACATCTGCTCTTGAACGTAGCCCCGAGGGGACAGGATTTATGGGCCGGGGACCCTGGCTCACTTCACCTCCTTAGGCTCCATAAGCCACTTCCAAAATGGCACCGCTGCTGCCTACAGCTCACAGGGTTGCGGCGGCAATGAAACAAAATGGAATACATAATGGTGCGTGGCCAAACCAAAGGTCCCTCCTTTGACTCCTCCGATAGCCGGCCCCATTTGGTGGGCGCAGGGCGGGAGTTCCCGACCAGCAGAAGCACCCAAACTGGAAAAGCCATCCCCAGGGACGGCCCCCAAATCCCCGCCAGGCACGAAAAGCTGGGGCAGGGCTCCAGAGGGTCCCTGCAAATTTAAGAGCCCGTCATTTTAAAGCCTAGTTCTGCCTCCTGCTGACAGACTAAGTCTGCGCAGCTTTCTGGAAAGCAGCCCGGCAACGTGCACGGAGAGCCTCGGATCCACCTATCATGGCTTTACTTTCATAGAAAATCAGAAACAACCTAACATCCGTCAGCGGGCATTGGTTTAAGAAAACTACAGGATAGGGGATGCCTGGGGGACTCAGTCGGTGAAGCATGTGCCTTTGGCTCGGGTCATGATCCCAGGGTCCTGGGATCGAGCCCCACATCAGGCTCCCTGCTCAGCTGGGAGCCTGCTTCTCCCTCTGCCTGCAGCTCCCCCTGCTTATGCTCTCTGTCAAGTAAATAAATAAAATCTTTTTTAAAAATTAAAAAATAAAAAATAAATTTAAATAAACTACAGGATATCCTGTAAAAATGATTACAGGAAAACTGCCACACAGACATTTCTTTATAGAGTGGATAGTTGTTCACAAAGTACTGTCTGCTGAACAACAAAAACCCAGGTAACAAAACTAGGTCAGGTTTGATCCTGATGCTCCAAGTACATCCCTTTATAATGATTTCTTTGCTCCAGGAACCACGTGGAAGGAAACACATCGACGTGCTGACAGCTGTTTTCCTGTGCAGTGGAATGGAAATCTCTGTTTTCTTCTTTTTGCTCATCTGTACTCTCTAATTTTCCTCCCATGAACAAGCACTGTCTTGGTGCTAAAAGATGTTGAGAAAAGTAACCAGCATGGTTGGTTTGGGTTTTTTTAAAGGAAGAGACAATGAGGACTGTGCTAAAGGCTCAGACAAAAATGCCAGTGACAAATTCAGGACTTTACAGACTGCTCTGTGGCCAGAGATGCGGAACCCAGCCCAGAGCTTTCCTCCAGGTCCCCGAGCCTTCCCTTTACTACTCAGGTGCCCCCTAGAGACAATCCTTCAGTGCCTGGTGCTGTATCCTGTGCAAAACCCCTAACCTTGGGACAGTGAGCACCTGTGCTCTGAGGCCTCAACAGGGCCTCCATCTGCAGCAACCCTCCCCGGCCCCAGCCTCTTCCAGCCCAGGGCCCACTCGGAAGCCTGACCAGCCAGCTCCCCCGAAGCCAGAGAGTTCTCATTTCCTCACAAATTATTAAAAGAAAGGAAGCACGAAGGGAAAAAAGCAGGGAGGGAGTAGGAAGGCAGCCTATACCCACCCCACACCCATTTTTCTGCACCGCGTACTGATTCTGCAAGGCCAGAGACCCACAGAGTGTTGTCCAAAGCAGCCGGAAACCCTCTTCCTGAAGTTGACTTACCCTTTTCCCAGAGAGATGAGCACAGGACTTTCCAGCTCCATGAGCACCCGGAAAGCCTTATTCATGTTTTGGTAAGAAAAGCTTTCTCCAGCATCTGCAATGACCACGCAGTTGGGGTTGGAGGTGTCAATCTGATCAAATTCTGAGCGGACTCCTGGAAAGAGAAAGAGGGATAAAGCCCTGCGGAGACATGGCTCACGTCTCATCTCCTACCAGGGACACCCTCTGTCTGCCACGTGGGTCCGGCCCCTTTCTCAGACGCACTTCCTGATCCTCCCAGCTGTATGGGAGGCAGACATGGAAGGGGTCTTACTCCCACTTTACAGATGAAGGAATTCCACTCCCCACAGTTGGGGTTTGTCAGGAGAAAGATGGACCCACCCCGGGGGCCCCCAGCCCAACACCGCCATTACCCCAGGGGCTCCTGTCCAATCCCACAGGCAGGGAACCCATAGTTCTGCAAGTGAGAAGCGACATTTGCCAGGAAGACACAGATTCCTGAATGCAGGGTGAAATGAGGCTGCTGGAAACCTTTGTAAGGTCTGTACTGCTGGACCCACACTGTAAAGACCATCAAACATTCCAGCCCAACCCCATGGAAGACAGGAGAGCCTCAAGTGACACACGTGCTGGAAGGAGTAGCCGCTGATCTCCCACCACCCCTTCACTCACCAAGCCCCTTAGCAAAGCCTCTTCCTCCTTTCCTTCTCTGCCCTCCTCTATTTTATCTTATTTTATTTTTTTTTAAGATTTTATTTATTTATTTGTCAGAGAGAGAGAACAAGCAGGAGGAGTGGCAGAGAGAGAGGGACAAGCAGACTCCCTACTGAACAAGGAGCCCGATGCGGGACTCGATCCCAAGACCCTGGGATCATGACCTGAACCAGAGGAAGACTTTTTTTTTTTTTTTAAGATTTTATTTATTTATTTGACAGAGAGATAGACAGCACAGGCAGGCAGAGGGAGAGGGAGAAGTAGGCTCCCCACTGAGCAGGGAGCCCGAGGCAGGGCTCAATCCCAGGACCCCGGGATCATAACCTGAACTAGAGGCAGACGCTTAACCAACTGAGCCACCCAGGCGTCCCCTGAAGGCAGACATTTAACTGACTGAGCCACCCAGGAACCCCTGTCCTCCCCAGTTTTAAATTAAAATCCGAGAACACTGCAAGGATAAACTAAGTTGTCAGCCTTATGCCCTCCATTGCTTAGGACGAGGCGTACTCTCACCTATCTTGGTCTTAGATGTTGCGCTTGCTGAATTAAAAAATGGAAGTAACTGCATGATACCCCTTCCTACTTGGCAGAACGGCGAGAATTAAAAAGACAGGCACCAGGCGCGCTGGTGGGGAAGAAGAGCGGCTGTAAGAGCCGGCTGGCCAGAACGTGAAATGATACAGCCCCCGGGGAGAGGCTAGCGGTTTCCGATAAAACTCAACAGCCACCTACCCTCTGACCCAGCAATTCAGTCCTAGGATTTATCCAAAAGAACTCCATAGAAACATTCATAGCAGATCGCCTCCCTAACAGCCTAAAGTCGGAAACAGCCAGGTGTCCGTCAACAGGGGACTGGACAAAGCCTGGTATGTTCACTTAATGGAACAGCACTCCGCAGAAAGAAGAAAAAATCTGATAACCCGCAACCGTACAGATATGTCCCAACAACAGTATGTTGGGGCTGCTCGGACCCGGCAGATTCCAAAGAAAGGCGGTCCTCAGGGCACCTGGGTGGTCCAGGCGGCTAAGCATCTGCATTTGGCTCAGATCATGATCTCAGAGTCCTGGGATTGAGCCCCAGGCTGGGCTCTGCACTCAGTGGGGAGTCTGATTCTCCCTCTCCTTCTGCCCCTCCCTCTCTCAAATAAATACAATCTTAAAAAAGAGAGAGAGAGAGAGAGTTTTTGTATGCCTGAGGCCCTGGGAGGCCAGAGACTAAAGAGCCAAGGTCAGTCCACAGGCGCTGTGTGCCTCTCCGACCAATCCCTACTCAAAACCCTAGACACCAGGCTCCAGTGGGCTCCCCTGGGTGATGACACATTGCATGTACCGTCACACATCTCGGCTGGGAGAATTAAGTCATCTCAGGGAGACTGCCCAGGTGAGGACCACTGAAAGGTCATGCCCCATTCTCCTAGAGTTCACCCCCGCCTCTCCTCCCTTTGCTGAGTTCAATCTGTGTTCCTTCACTGCAGCAAACCCTACTGAATCCCGCAGCTCTTCTGGGCCCTGCAGGTCCTTCCAGCAAATCGTCAAGCCTGAGGGTGGCCCGCAGGGCCGCGGCACAACTAGAAGCTGCATGATTCTATTTATACAAAAATCTAAATGAGGCAAACTTCTCATGATGAAACAAATGAAAATGCCTCCGAGGAGGTTAGGGATGGGGACTGACGGGGGCAGCGCGTGCCAGTAAAGCTCTGTATTGGGATCACGACAGGGCTAGGGACACACAGATGGATGCATCTGACAGAACTCAGCAAAAGCACACCTGAGATTCCTGCATTTCATTGTACATAAATTTTGTATCAAAAGAAAAAATTATAAACAGACACTGAACTCCAGTTAAGTGCTGAAGCGTTTTGGGGACATGTTCCAGTGTTTGCTATTTACCTTGAAATGTGTCAAAAAGATAAGAAAAGCGGGAGCCTGGGTGGCGTAGTTGGTTAAGTATCCGACTCTTGGTCTCAGGGTCCTGGGATCGAGCCCCGCATCAAGATCCACGCTCAGTGCAGCGTCTGCTTAGGGTCCCTCTCCCTCTCCCCGCTCCTGCCCCCACCAGCACGCAAGCACTCTCTCTATCTCTCTCTCGAATAAATGAATCTTAAGAAGAAAAAAAAAGTAAGATGAAAAGATGGACAGAGGAATAGGTAGACACAATAAGGAAGAAAACAGAGTAAAACATCACTAGTACAGCCAAGGTGACCACATCCAAATTATTCTGAGCAGAATTCCTGTAGCTTGGCTGTATGTTTGAAAATGTCATAATAAAATGTTGGGGGTGGAATTCATCAACAGTAAAATTGGAAAAAGATTCCGAGTCTGGAGACAGGCTTATTAATAGAAAAGAGATGCAGGGGTGCGGCTGAGGAGGGCCCCCGGCTTCCCCTCCGGCCTGCACAAGCTCCCACAGCGATCAACGCCCCCTCCGGGCAAACACTGACTCTCCTTCCCCTTCCCAGCGTATTTCACCCCCACTCCTCCCTCTGCTTCAGGGGTGGGGATTTTCTTTCTTAAGTTCTTCTCCTTCCTTGAGGACCTGTTCTGAAGACACTAGCAGAGATCCCAGATCACAGAGGAAGATTTTGAGAAAGAGGCTTTCGCAAGGCTGGGCGTACTGCCCTCAACTGGCACCAGAGCTCTGGATTGGACACTTGGGCCTTTCAGGGAGCACTCTCAAGCTCGGGGGGGGGCCCCTCTCCTGCCGGGAGGCAGAAGAATATGCTTGCTTCTGCCGTGGTTTGTAAATAAAAATACCCAGCGCAGGGGAAGAAGAAGGGCTCAGTGCAACGACAGCGAAGTGTCCTGAATTCGAAGCTCTGCTTATGTGTCTTCTTTTTGAATATTCAGAAGGCACCCAACAATACCGCTCCTTCCACTTCCCAGAAAAACTCCCCAAGGAGGGTCAAAATGTCTCTTTCGTTGCATTCAGAAGAAGATCAGGATATAAACCTTGTGCCATTTGCCAGAAAGTAGGGCTGGTTTTCACAAATAGAGATCAAGTTCAGGGTTGGGGGAGGGTGGCGGGGGAGGTAGGGGGAGTGGGGGATGGGGTGTGGCAGACAGAAACCTACAGACTTCAGTCTAGCCCCTCAGCCTCCTTCCCTGCCCATCTCCTGCCCCACAAGCCCTAGAAGCTAGGATTTTGCCGCTGTGGCGATTCCCTGCCCCTCTGGTCCATTCTAGATCAAAGAAATCAGGCTCAGAGGTTTCCTCCTTGGAAACTGTTCCATCTGGAACCTGCCTCTAAAGACCCTCCGGTACTCAGTCAGGGGTGGAAGGGGACTGGTCCCCAGCAGGGAGCCCACGAGGTTTCCACCTCACAGGCCCATGAGCACCAGCGGCAGAAGCCAAGCGTTCATGTCCTCCCCAGTAGTTTGGCCCAGGTGAGAAGGACGCCCTCCCTCGGCCCCCACCTGGAAAGGAGGCACCGTCACCCCCACCAAGCCCAGGGCCCGGCAGGCCTACCATCGTGGATAAGCAGGTGTGGCCGCAGGCCTCGCTCCTTCAGGATCAGAGAGGCAGCTGGGGCGGGGGCAGTCACCTCGCCCTCGGAGATGTCGAAGCCGTGGCGCCGAAGCAGCCCCACCAGGTCACCCCGGGACTTCTGCGAGTCGTTGGTGCAGAACCTCACCTTCAGCTGTGACCGCTTCAGTCTGGAAGTGGGAACACGACAGGCAGAGGGTGCCATCAGCACTTGGAACACTGGGCCTCCGGGGAGGAAGTTGGAAAGTCACTTCCCAAGGGCAATCAGGACCGCCAGCGTGGGCCAGACCACTGTGGCTCCCTGAGGCCAGCTTCAGCTGACCCCGGGGTCTGGATGGGAGCTGCTGAGCTGGAGCTGACCCTTTCCAGGGAACCCCGACCCTGCCCACAACCCTCCTTTCCATCTGCACTGAGCCTGTTGCTGGGGACATGTCCCCACTCCCTCGGCCTGGGACACCCCCACCTGGGACATATCTCTGTCCCCACTCTCTCTGCCTGAGATACCCCCCCACCTCTTCATCTGACACACAACTCCAGCCTTCACCTGGGACACATTTCCTTCGCTCCTTCTACCTGTGACACACACCCATGCTCGGCCTGGGACACATCTCTGTTCCTTCTCCTGGGACACACTCCTGCCTGGGACATGGCACCTCTCTACATGTGCCAATTCTCCCACCACCCAAGACGCACCGGACATCTCCCCTCCATCACTCCATCCCACTCGGCCTGGCTAGGGATGTCCCATGAACGCCCGCGGCAGTTTCTCTGGACCGTTCCACCGTGATCAGCACTTCCACTGTGCACGTGGGCTACGTGTGCCTAATTACCTCCGCATCCATATTTCCCCTAAAGAACAAAGGCTGAGACACCAAGTTCGTGTGTGTCTTCTCATTGTTGTCACTGAAATAAAGTTTGCCAGACGGTCATCAGGTATAGGAACGATCCCGGGATGGACAGATAGGACCCAGGGAGCCCCTGCAAGCCCAGGGTTAACCTAACAAGACCCTGAGATGCTGTGGCAGGCCAGCCGCGCCCACATTTCTTCTCTCCTGAGCTCCCAGGAACCCGGCTGCTGGCTGGCTGCACCTGGCCCGGTTCTCGGAATGCAAACCCACAAGCAGATGCCGAAAGAGGTCCCAAATGCAATAATATCCAACCCTCCCGCAACACTTGCCGAGCATCTACTAAGTGCCTGGCTGGGGGCCAGCGCACAGAACTGTAACCTTGACCACAGGCAGGCTCCGGCTGGAGCCACAGGGAGGTGCTTTGAAGGACTGGAACAGGATGAAGAGGCAGATGGGGGCCAGGAGGCAAAGAAACAGCCTCCAACAGAGGGAAGAGTGGACTCAGGCTGCGCAGGAAAAAGGGCTGGCACAGCTGGGATCCATCCTGATGGCAGATGTCCCCACGGGCCCGGAACACACAGCCCTCCCTAGACAAGTCAGGGCAGGACGGCAGTCCTACTCAACATCTGCACAGAGTCGCAGTGTGGCGTCGCAGGACAGACGCCAGGCTACTAGTCAGGAGGTCTGGGAAACCCTAGGAAAACTAACCGAGGGCACTGTCACCTCACACTGTTTGCAAACAGGTCTCTGACACAGCCATGCCAGCGGTCTCCAAACGTGCAGAAGACATCTTTACTTTCCAGCCATCCTTTCAACTTTTACATTTTTATAATATAAATAATATATCTGATCCAGTGTTAAGTGCATAATTTATCATTTAGTATTTATCAATAAATACCCTGTATAAGAGATACGTGTTCCAATTTTGTGCTCTTGTGCAGAGGCAACACACAGAGTAGACCCAGTTACTCAGAACTATGGACTTGAAATCAACCTCTGTTTGGCCAAATAAGGGAGACCCCTGGTAAAAATGCAACTCTGTCTCAACCCTGGCAGTGACATGCTTTCTATCCTGCTTTATGAGTGAGGACACTGGGTCTCGGAAGGTCAGGAACTTTCTATTCCTCTTCCTGGATCTGAGACACTAGAGACATGGGCTAAGTTCTACTTGACCCCAACACGGATCCTGGAACCGATATGGAGTCAGAAACAGGAAGCACACACCGTAGCCACCCTACAAAGCCAAAGGTAGGAAAGGTCTCCTCCCAGGATGGGGTCTCAGAAAAGGCTTCTCAGAAGAGCCAGGTCCAACTTGAATCTTGCAGAACTGATTAGGCGGCCAGGGTAGGGGGTGCAGAGCAGAGGGAGAAACAGGTGCAGTGTAGGCCCTGGTCGGGTTCAGAATCTTTGAGCAGCCTTGGGTATATGGAAGCTGGGCCAGAAAATGAGGCTGAAGAGGAGGGTCACTGAGCGGGTAGGGGTGCCTCAGGCAATCTGTTCCATCCCGGGGTGGAGGGAGCTCCAAATTCAATGCTCCTTAGTGATAACAGAACTGGGAAAAGGTGGCAGATCTGTCCAATGTCCCCCTCTCCACCCTGTGTCACACTGTCCTTATCCTAGCTCTGGCTGTATTTTTCTTTCTTTGTAACGTTAACCAATATCTCCAAGTGTCTGACATATCTTTATTGTTCCTCTCCCAGACCTATGTGCTCCATGAGGTCAGCAGTGACATCTGGTCTATTCTCCTCGGCATCCCTGCTTCACACCGGGCTGGTACACGGCAGGCTCCCATTTGCTGAATGACCGAGTGACAGAAAATCCAAATGACAGCCGGTGAGAGGGACCCTTCCTTAGAACCACACCGACCACACTTACTGCCGCCCCCAAGGGTGCCCCTGTAGCCCCCTTCCAAGCCCCGTTGGACACAGGCAGGTGCTCCTTTGCTGTGATGACCCTCCAAGCCCTGGAGCTGACAAGTGCCACCTGAAAAGAAGTCTGTAAACTGACCAACAACAGAGTGAACACACACCTTGAGGCTAACCATGTCTTAATCAACAGCCCAGGTGGTTCAGTCCTTTCTTAATATTTGTCTTTCCTAATCAGAGAGTTATGAATGATCAATTACGCTTAGTGGTTAATTGCCCTTCATAAAGACAGCTTTTGTATTTTTAAATTAGGCAGTTAATATATTGTAACTAATAGCATCACCTTGTGCATCACAGACAGATCTTCATTGATTGGCACCGGGAAAGGGTGATTCGCACCCAAATTAATGGAGCAGTTGAGCGAAGAAGTGCAGGGGTATCCGGGGACTAATTATTGCTCATGAATTATGATGTGACCTTCTCAGAACAGCGAACAATCGGCGTGACGGCGAGACGACAGTGCCTCACATCTGCTATTCAGAACACGACTTCGGATGCCGGTGACAAACGTGTCAATAACACAACTCGCACCGGGACACTTCAGCCACGGGTCTCCTTTGAAATAACCACCGAAGTTCATAAGACATGTGCTTTAAAATCAAAGTACTCGTTTTAGGATCAAATCAGCCTTGAAAAACATCTAGTGCAAAACATGTGGGGAGTCCCCTCCCTGTGGTGTTCATCCATGCCCCCCCACTGACGGCACCCCCTTTCTGACCATTTGGGACGAGTCCCAGGTCCCCTCTGTTTCTCGTAGTCACTGAAAATGATAAAAGCATGGTTTATTAGCGGAGTAAAGCGTGACTACAACATTACATTAAGTCCTGCCTCGGGACTCAGTGTCTGTGACTTGATTTGGTCCAGAACCACATGCTTTCTTCCCTACACACGTCCCCGGGCCAGTGCCCGGCGCACAGTCAGCACCGAGTACGAGCTGCCTGAGCAATGAGCCCAGACACCAACACCACTGTCCTCATTCTAGAGATGTCAAAACGGAGGGTCTGAGTGGCAGAGACCGATAAAGTCGCACATCTGGTAAGCAGCAGAGCCCGCAGGCTGTAAACCGGCCCCGGGGGTGAGGGAGGGGCAGCTACGCGTGTGCAGACCTATGTGTTTCCAGTAAGGGGAGTACTGTGCCCCCGGCAAGACCCAGGTCCAGGTGCGTGCGGGGCACACGTGAGTGTGTACAGGGGAGAGAGAGTGCGAGGTGAGCGGTCAGCACTGAAGGGAAGGCCCTGAACGGCCACTGCTGTGGACCGAGCTGCATTACACTTACACACACACACACACACACCACCACCCCCACCCCCCTCTGCCTGGCAGATCCCTGTGTTAAAGCCCTGAGGAGGCAAGAAGGGCTAAGTGAGGTCGTCAGGGTGGGGGTGTGAGAGGACAGGGATTACTGTCCTTAGAAGACCACCAGCAGGGGCGCCTGGGTGGTTCAGTCAATTGAGCATCTGCCTCTGGCTCAGATCACGATCTCAGGGTCCTAGGATCAAGAATGCCTGGAACACGTGTCCTCCCACAGGGCCCTGGCATCCCAGGGTGGGGTGCAGACCAGATCGTCCCTCTGAGACCCTGGCCACCACTTCGGCCCGCTGCCCCCTTCCCAGGAGTCCCACGAGAGTGGGATTTGCCCCCACGTCCTGTGGCCACGCGGGATCTTTGAACTGACCTTTACCTCATCCCCGCAGGACAGGACAAACCCGCCTGGTGCAATTACTGTGCGTCACACGAACTGGTCCCCTGCAAATCACCTCGGACCTCACACAGCTGCTGGCTGTCGGCATCTGCCAGGGGCGCTCACCCGAAAATAATGGAAACCCTCTCATTATGGCTCCGTAGCAGGTAGAGCGCTAAGGCGATTACTGGACATCCTGACCGAACTTGGCACAGCTCCACAGCCTGCTGCCCTCTCTGCCTCGCCAGAGGGGCTGGGAGGGGAGGCCACCAGGGGGCAAGAAGGCTGCCCCAGACAAGGCCCTCCCAACTGGGCCCATCCTTCCTCCTCACTCCATTCCCCACCCCACCCTACTCCCCCACCAGCTCTTGGGAAGCTGTCACCTTTGTATGTCCTACAGAGGGCTCAAGTCACCCAGAGTCTGCTGTACCCTCCTCTACAGCCCAATCTTTGTCATCTTTCAAGGACTGGTTCATGTTTCCCATCCTCCAGGAAGCCCCCCAGAGCCCCCATCCCCGGTCTGCTCAGGCAGAGCCCATCTTCAGCTCTGCTTTCACAGCCCTTGGAGGGTAGCAATGCCTTTCAATGGGAATTCCCTAAATAATCTGAATTCCAGATCTGATGGGCCCACGCATCATAAAGGAACAACACTGCCCTTGCCTCCAGAGAACCTCAGGAATAAACCCCATGCTCAAAGCTAATCCTGCCCGTGGGCA